GGTATTCTCATCTCTCTTTGATCAAATATCCCTGATTGCATACAATTAACTGTCAGAATGCCAGCTATCAAACACAATCCATGACTAAACTTCACTGCAAACCAGCTAACCATCTGTCTTCTTCCAAATGAATCACCTGTGAATTCTCAAATTCCCCCCACCCCAAAAAATCTTAAGATTGCCAAATGTTTAATGTCAATCGAAATGCCAATTGAAATATTTGGCCACTTATTCCCACAAATATTTGACTGGGTAGGTAGGCCACTGCCAAAGACTCTTCTGGGATCACAAAACTGTGATGGGAGAATTTTGGCAAAGAATTTTGGTCCATTTCTTTTCTGAAGCAATTACAGAGGCTAGGCAACACGTCTTAAAATGTCCACCATCACATGGAACAATAAGTAAATTACAGAGAGTGGGGCAGGTCTCAAGCAAGATTGTTTTCTGTGATACAAGCTGATGCAGGCCAGAAGGTACGATACAAACCACAAGCAAATTAAAATGCCTTACAAGAATTCAGATAATTTATGTGGACAACGCACAGAGTCCCTCTCCAAGGAGACGGGCAATTAAGAAATATGAAATCTAAATAAATGATTTGGCTTTGTCTCTTTCTCCCTGGAAATTCTGAGAATGAAACTATAATATCAATTATCACAAAGTAAATAAGTGTGTTGTTCTTCAAAGGCAAACCTTATCTTTGCCCTGAACTCGCCAGCTAGTCTTCAACTAGTCACCATCTCTTAGCATCACGCCCCTAGTCCATATGCGATACAGGAATGAAAATACAGACGGGGTTATGATGGCAGTAATAATCTATGAGGACTGTACATTGCCCAGAGTTGTCTTTTGTGAATTAGACAGTTATACTATTTTTATTTACAAAGGACAGTAAACATTCATGATCGTATCGCACTATAATGGTTCCAAGAGATATACAAGAAACAATTTCCTATTCTAGATGGAATGAAAGAGGCACGATCAGCCTAAAGGCAAATCATGGGATAAGGTGAATTAAGAATGATTTAAGGGGTTTCTGAACTAGTACTTATTTTTCCCCAACCTGGGCTTGGAGTATCCCTCCTCCAACTTGGCTAAGGAGGAGGAATGGTCAATTGGGCAGTGATCTTACACACCCTCAGTTCTTTAGCTCTAAAATGGGATTAGTAATAAAATGGCCTAGATAAGCGAAACACGTTAAAAACATAATACAATAAAGCAGTGGTTCTCAACCTTTTCTTCACCAGGGATCCCCTTTAAATACCTTTTGTGGCCATGGTCCATGGCTACGGACCACCAAGACTTAACTCAAGCATTAAACCATAACATTTCTTCAAGCCTCTGCGGACCCCCTCTGACAACACCCCCCCACCGGTCCAAGACTGAGAACCACTATAAATAAAGGGTTAAAGGAAGAGTGTGTTTAACTTACCACTGGGACCAAACTACCGAAATCTCACATAGTCCTCAACAAGGTAGTGGCTAAAATCATCCCAAGCATCTAATCCATGTGCAGTCAGGAACGCTGCAGCTTTCTTTCGTCTGCTACTGGAAGACTCTTGAATCAGCTGCAGGCAAATGAAAGGAAGGGAAGGGAAAAAAACACGCCAATGAAGCGTCCATTTCCAATTCATTCTGCTCTCTGAGTCGAGGTGTCAGCAATTTACCCAAAGCAACTCTCCCAATTTTTTAATTTATTTATTTTTTTGGTCTTATCTTCCTCTTCTACCTCCTTCCTAGTGATGGCAGTTCAGCAGATGTCGTGAAAAGACCAACAAGCTCTTGAGAACTAGGCATTTGCTTTTGATGCCAGACCCGGATCGGTACAAAAAGGTTAGAAAAGAGGCATTTCATTTCATTTTTTAAGTGAAAATATTTCTTGTTATGTTCTCCTTTTCCAAGCACAGGTACTCCATCTTTCTCCCCAGAAGCAGAGTGGGAAAGAAAAATATATAATAAATCCAGTATGAACTGTTTGTACTGTACAAATTGCAGAACTTAGCACATACTCCTAGCTGTAACATAATGAGGCTGCTTAAACTGTGTCCCTCTCCTTTCTTGCCAATCTGTGATGCAAGAAGTTGCCTTGAATCCAGTTTCATAACAGGTTCTCAATTCCACACCTACTCACACAGGAAAACCCTTTCTGTTCCCAATCAATCCAAGAACAGTATTCCCTTGAACGATTAGTACAATAATCCTTGCCTCTTGTGGACCAATATATATATGCCTGCATCTGTACATTTTAATAATGTAATAATTTGACTCGAAGTTGTAGAGACTGGATCCTTTCGAATTAAATGGAAGCAACAAAGAAGTCTCACAAGAGGAACAGATGCTAGAGAAATCTCTTTCCTGTTATATATATATATATATATATATATATATATATATATATATATATATAGAGAGAGAGAGAGAGAGAGAGAGAGAGAGAGAGAGAGAGAGAGAGAGAGAGAGAGAGAGAGACTACCTGAAAACTTACAGAATGTAAAATAAAACTATATAAACTCACAAGCAGAATAATTCTTATTTTCTTAAAACTACCTATTGTACTCCCAAATGGATGTGGATGAGGGAACTTGTATCTAACAGATCTGGAAGGCAGTAGATTCCAAAAGTCTAAATATCGTGAATTTCCATTCAGATTTCTTTCATTTGCCAGGTGCTCTAAATTCTGGATTTATTTATTTTTCCTTTCATATACTATAATTCCCAATGAAGAGTTAGAATACTAAGGCTGAGGGAAAAAGCTTAATGATGGATCCAAAAGCAAGCTTCAGGGTTAGGGCCAAATCTCCCAGAGGCAACTTGGCCCATGGTGGACTTCAGAAAAGCAAGGTGTGAAGAGTGCAGAAAAGAGCATTGAAGATGATTAGGGGACCGGAGGTTAAAACATATGAATAAAGGTTGTAGGAATTGGGTATGTCTACTGTATAGTCTAATGGAAAGAAGGACTCGGTATGATATGATAGTAGTGTTCCAATATCTCAGAGGCTGCCATAAAGAAGGGGTGGGGCCAACCTATTCTCCAAAGAACCTGAAGGCAGAACAAAAAGCAATGGATGGAAACTAAGTAGGGAGACAACCAACCTAGAAATAAGGAAAAATTTCCCGACAGTGTAAACAATTAATCAGTTGAGTGACTTGCCTCCAAAAGTTGTTGGTGCTCTAACACTGGAGGTTTTTAAGAAGAGATTGGATAACTATTTACTGAAATGGCATAGGGTTTCCTACCTGAGCAGGGGGTTGGACTAGAAGACCTCCAAGGTCCCTTCTAACTCTGTTATTCAGCAATGAGATAGATATCACCATCCTGAGACTCACTGCCTGATCAAGACCAAGGAAAGTTACTCATGTACAACATCAAGTGGATCAAATAATGGAAAACCAGAAACCTGCTTTCGGTCATTCAGCGGAGACTAGCCAGGCAGCAAGTGCATGTAGCCACATACGTATTCCAACCAGCAAAAAAAAAAAACAACAACTCTTGTCTCCAATCATTTTAACTAGAGACAACACTGATAAAATCTGAGACACAGTGAAGGTAAAATTGCGTGTTCTGCCAATGGACTGCAGCCCCAGTCCTTTGCATCAATAGGCAAACATAAATTTAGAAACACGTTATCTACTGGTAGTAAAGGAAAAAAAAATAGCAAAGCATACAATCGATCAGCCACCTGGTTCAAAACACTCACATACAGCAATGGTTCCAGGTTTCAATCTTGGTTTTCTTGAGCAATCCATTGATTCTGCCAGCCAACATGGCAACATGACCCAACAACGGGGAATGAGCACAGGAATGTTTTATCTTGTTATCCATTTCTTTGCGCCTCCAAGGAGCTTATGTAGTCCATCTGCACGCTGAGATATTCTATCCTAGAGTAGTCCTGACTTCTAAAGTTGATTGAGAGAGAGAGAAGGAAGACACAGAGAGAGAGAGAGAGAAAGAGAGAGAGAGAGAGAGGAGAGGAGGAGGGAGATGAAAGAAGGCAGGGAAAGGATTCAAAAGGTCACAGAAAGAAGAGGGCAAGAGAAATAAGGTGTGACTTACAGCACTTTCATATTTTTTTTTTCTTTTTGGAAAGTTTCATTCTTAGGTGACTAAAAAAAAAATCTAAAAAACTTGCCTGCCAAATGAGACCGGTTTCCTGTACTATTCATAGCAAGCAAGAAACTCAACTCTCTGAGTCCTGAAATCGTTCACCAAGAATGGAGGGAAATGTCAATTCCCAGCAAGAGACCTCGCCTCCTATTAGCATACAAAAGTGGCCACGTGCCCCTCTGATCGCCAAAAGCACATCCCCTGACTCATCCCAGCCACAAGGAGAATCGCGGAGAACAATTTCCTCTCTGCCCCAAACCCTACTGTGCATGGTAAATGGGACAGACTGGAGGTATCCCGGCCCGCTTTGATGGTAATTCCAACCCAAGCTCAACTTTGCTCAGCACTGCAAGGAGGTGGCCAAAACTGAGCTTTGAGTCATCCCTCAATTATACACCGAAGGAAATTAGTCAGCAGCACGCAGCACATGTTTTGCAATGAGTAGCTGTTCAGGCTCTCATGCAATGTTGCTTCTGACAAATGCAAGATCCTGGCAGTGCCCGAAGCCCAGGAAAATTCCATAGACCCCCCCCCCCAAAAAAAAAAAGAGAGAAAGAAAAAAGAAATGAAAGAAAGCGGGGGAAGCAAAGACGAAAAGAGAAAAAAACAAAGTGGCTGATTTGTAAAAGTATCGTGCCCAGAACCATGTTCAATTCAATCTCATTCTACAGCCTGTGTATTTGTTTAATTGTTCAATTTATATAGCTGCCCATCTCTCCTATGTGATTCTGGGTAGCTCACGATAATTAAAAACAACGGAAAGAATTAAAAAAAATATAAATAAAAGCCGCAAAAGCAAAAAAATCATACAAAATCCCGGAAAACATAATAATCACAGCAGGTAAGTATGATCAATACATCCAGTTCACAGTGGCCTGACTTGAAACACTATGCAGGATTAGGGATGGTGGAGAACGGAAAGACAAGAATATTCTCTCTTATATGCACACACAAAAAAGGAAACGAGACCCTTTCTTGTGCGTGCTGAGAAAAATAATTGGAGAGAGTACAATCAGCTACTGATGGCACAGTGGTAAAATTAGCTCCTTTCAGGGTTTGTTAAGATACAGAATGAAAGTTCTTTAGCTTTTCTTGAACCATCACACTCTCCTTGGATTATAAAAAACATCAACTGGATAACGGAAGAAACAGCAACTGCGGTTACAGACTGAAGATAAGGGCACGCTCCTTTGGAAATGAAGCTAATTCTCCTTAGATTGCTTCAAAAAGGATAAAAATCACCTGAAAACTTTGGTTTGAGAATGCAAACAAGTTCTAATATGAGTACGGGATTCCAGGGGAGATATACGTCCATGAAAAGTTGGCCGGATCTGACTCTAAAGTTTCCTCTTGTGCAAATAAGGAGTGGCAGATTGGATATCATGAATGTATCTATAAGCTCACCCATTTCAGCTGATTCTGGACTTAACCCGTTTTCCTAGGTGACAGCACAAAAATATAGAAAACTCTTTACTGCCACCTAATGATTGGCTGTTTACAATCCAGATGTAGTAGCCCTAAACATAGTGAGTGCATACAATTTCACTGCTTATAATTCATGGAGGATGAGTTTACTGTAAGCATTACATGAGAGAGAGAGAGAGAGAAGTTGTAGCTGCGTTACCAGAATTGCACCAGAGACACCACCTTAACTCAACCAAGGAGCTCAGTGGATGACTGCGGCCCAGCCCCTCTCTCTTAGTGCAGTCTTCTTCACAAGACGGCTGCTATGGCAATGAAACGATGGGAAATTAATTCCATGTAAGGTATCTTACATCACCAAAGGAAAACAAGACATAAACCTGAAAGCAAGCAATAAATAAATTGTTTATGCCACCCTGCACTTTCTGTGTTTTGTTTTTGTTAAAGTCAACAAAAGTAATCAAGAATGGGAGAAACCGAAATAGTGAAATAATTGGCATTAAAGATTAAAGATTCTTGTAGCCTCTATGTGAGAGATAACTGATTCAACACAGAGCTGTTATCAAACAATACTACTAGTGAACACCTGTATCTCAATTTCTATAAGAAAGTTCCTGAAAGCCTTAGCCACAATTGGTTCATCTTTAACTGAGTCAAACATTCAGAATAGTTCGAAACCCAGCCGTGGGTGAGCATGTGCGCATCCCCCTCTTGCGCAACCTGCGCGCGTGTGCTCACATTTGCACGCTACTTGCACAGAACCTTCCCCTCTCCCCCCTCCACCCGCCGGTCCACAAAGTCGGAAAAGTTGGGGAACTCTGACATAACAGACTAAACCAAATCAGTGAAAGGCCCTAGAAGCTGAATTCATAGATTACTCAAAGCTCAGTTTAACCTTGATTTTGCAAGCAAAGGTTCTGGCATCTATCCATCCATCATTATCCCAGCACTCCAAAACCATTTAAAGCAGCTCCTTTTAATGAACAACAACAAAGAGGAAAACAAGGAAATTGTTACAGGCGTTTCACCATCCAGCCTGGC